TCCGACGAGGATTTAATTTATTCAGGATGCAGGCGGGTGATCCTACAGCGCGCAAGGGTTCAGTTTTAAATGTAACGTTAAGTAATAGCATTCACTCAAATATATACTGATTATATATATATATATATATATATGTGTATATATACACACACACATATGTGTATATATACACACAGATATATATATGTGTATATATAATATATATATATATATATTATATATACACATGCACCGTGTGTGTGTGTGTATATAAAACGCTGCATAATCCCTTTATTTATTTTGTTATTTTTTGTGACGCCGTTTTCCTCCACCAGTCTTGCAACGTCAGCAATGTAATTGTAGGTACATCTGTGAGCAAAAAAAAAAAGCAATACCGTATAATAATACCGCATACCGGGATACTGTCAAAATCTTTCAAAATACAGTAATGTGAATTTTTGCAGTGATAGGACAGGCAATGATGCAGAGAGCACAGGGAGATGAGAAACACCAGGTCCAATAGAGAGAGGAGAAGCACAGAGGAGCCATGAACCCCAGAACGCGCATTCTGGGGTTCATGGCTCCTCTGTGCAAAGCAGGACCTGACATGGAGGACAAGGAGGCCCTCTGGGCACTACTGTAAAAAGGAGACTCCGTATGTAGATAGTTCTTAATCTGCAATTGTCTTGTTGTATTGTGTTGACATACTTTTCTTTACTGTTTTCTTAAATTGAATAAACTACTAACACATTTAGTTATTGTCATTGATTGTATATGACATAACATAATGCAATATAGCCAGGACAGCCTTACAGAGTCGCGACGCTTTGTGTTGCGTTGCTTCGCATCGCGTCGAGGTCTGTATGATCACAAAATTCAGAGTTTACCCACCTCTAATTTTACCACTACAGCACTGCTCCTCCTCCTCTCTACACTAACTCTCTCATTCGCACACATGGCTTCTTCACAGCTATGCCGATGACACCAAACTAATTCTCTCCTTCCCTCGCTTGGTGGCGGCGGCACAGATCTCTGCCTGTCTAACTGACATATCTCAGTGGATGTCCGCTCACCATCTGAAAATCAATCCCCCGACAAGGCTGAACTACTTCTCTTTCCGGGAAAAGATACTCCTACACAGGACCTGATGGTTAACTTTGGCAACTCAGCGCAGGTACTGATTCAGGCTGTTGTCATCTCCCGCCTTGACTATTGCATCTCCTGGCAGGTCTCCCTAACACCGCCATTCAACCTCTGCAGCTCATCCAGAATGCAGCAGCTCAACTGGTCTTCCACCTTCCGAAATTCTCCCACACTACTCCACTCCTCCCCTCTCTTCAATGGCTACCAGTGGCTGCCCACATACAATTCAAAACAATGGTACTCACGTACTATGCTGTGGATGGATCGGGTCCGGTCTACATCCAGGACATGGTCAAACCCTACATCCCAACCCGCACACTCTGCATCTGCCAAACTGCTTATTCCTCCCTCACTGAGAGTGACAGGATCACAGCGCTTTGCTGTCCTCGCTCCGAAATGGTGGAATGAGCTCTCCGATGACATCATGACCGCAGAGAGCCTTTACATCTTCCGCCGCAAACTAAACACACACCTCTTCAGACTATACCTTGACTAAAAAGACTAACAAATTGCAGTTAAATTGCACTTAAATTGTACTTATAATGGCTCTTATCTATAAGTTGTAAATCAGCTTATTTAATGAAATTCATTTCTTGTTCTTTTGAGTTTGTATCTGTAGCCGTGATAACACTACCACCGTCGGGTTCCGTTTAAGGATGCACGGACACACGGGTCTAGTGAGCAATATGCCTTTTTATTTCTCTGGTGGCAGTGAGCAGGTTTCGGGTAAATCGTCAGTGTTGCTCTGTTCAGCTCCGCTCCGCTCCTGAGTGTCTGCTCCAGTGTGTGTGTGGGTGTGTCTCGCTCCAGGTCCTGCTCACTGCATTTCACAGGGAGACAATCAGTCCAGATCACTTCCACTTGTGCTTCTTACTCACCTGCCGGCACCGTCCCCTGAACCACTCCCACCCCCGCTCTCCCCCTGCAGCTGAGCTAACCGCACCCCGAACAGAGGGTGAACTGGCGTTCCAGGAGGTAATACCGCAGGGAGTCGACCGCCCAGCGGATGGCCAGGCACTCTTTCTCGACCGTACTGTACCTGGCCTCTCTCTCCGACAGCTTCCGGCTGATGTAGAGGACCGGGCGGTCCACCCCCTGCACCTGCTGTGTTCCTTAAGCAGGTCGAGCACCCCCGTGGTCTCCTGCCAAACAGCAGCTCGAAGGGAGAAAATCCCGTGGAGGCCTGGGGAACCTCCCGTACTGCAAATAGAGGATCAAGCCATTTATCCCAATTACGTTCATCGTCGTGAATGAACTTACGAATCATGGATTTTAACGTCCTATTCAGCCGTTCCACCAGGCCGTCAGTCTGGGGATGGTACACACTGGGCCGAACAGACGTAACCCCCAGTAATTCCCGCAGCAATTCCCGCAGGGTGCGTGACATGAACGAGGTGCCCTGGTCAGTCAGAATCTCTTTCGGGATTCCGACTCGGGAGATGACCTAAAAATGACCTGCGCAATACTCCGGGCGGAGATGCTGCGCAACGGCACTGCCTCGGGATATCGGGTTGCGTAATCCACCAGAACCAACACAAAGCATTACCCCTGTGAACTCCGGTGAAAGGGCCCGATGAGGTCCATACCTAAGCATTCGAACGGCAGCTCCATTAATGGTAGCGGACGCAACGGCGCTCTCGGGATGGCCGGCTGGTTTACCAGCTGGCACTGCGGGCAGGACGAGCACCATCGGCCCACATCCGCCCAGATGTCTGGCCAGTAAAATCGGGCCACTAAACGATCCAGAGTTTTGTCGCTACCCATGTGGCCCGCCATCCGGTTATAGTGAGCCGCCTGGAAAACCATTTCCCGACGGCTTTTCGGTACCAATAATTGTGTATTTTCCTGACATGTCTGAGTGTCGCGACTCACTCCGTATAGCCTGTCCCTCAATCAGTGAAAAGTGCGGGTATGATAATACGGTGTCGGGGCGCACCATTTGACCATCAATTTGCATCACTTGGTCGAAGGCGAAGCGTAGAGTATTATCACGAGACTGCTCCAGTGGAAAATCTTCCATGGAGCGTAACTCGGGCACCAGCGGCATCTCCATAGGAGGCCCCGCCAGTTCCCCCCCCGTCCGCAGTGTCGGACAACCTCACGTCACCACTGGGCGCCGCACACATCCCGCATGTCCCTAGCGGTCGCGAACACACCCCCGCGCACTGCCCCGCTAACTTATGAAACCCCGACCAGTCTGTCCCCAAGATCAGGGGGTGCGTCATACGGGAGCTAACCGCAACCCTTATCATATGCTTTTTACCCCCAATCCTAATCTCTATCAGCACCACTGGGTATGTCGTGAATATCCGCATGCACACACTTTGAACAAGCCTCTGGTGGATCATAGACTACGTGCAGCCCGAATCCACCATCGCCTGATGTGTACCCCCCTGGATCCTTACCGGAACGCAGTACGTCGCTCCTGGACCGGGGGAGGGTGCTGGACGCCCGGCAACCCGCACTGTTTAGCCCACCTCCATTAGTGGGCACTCATGCCGGTAGTGTCCGGACTGCCCGCACCTCCAACACTCCTGCCCTGGCGGTTGAGGAGCCCTCTGTTGGTCGGGGAGAGTGCCGGTCAGGCCGGGTGGATCAGTACCCCATTGAGGGGCTAGGGCCCGCGGGGTCGGCGGGGGCCGAGCCGCGAGAGGCTGCGGGGACCTCCTTCGTGGCACGGGAACGGGCTGCGTCGATGCGGTTGCCCGACCACCCTACCCTGCCCGCCGGGGTGAACTGCCAGGTGGTCCTCGCTGAGGGTGACGGCGGCTTCCAGCGTTGCCGGTCGGTGGTACCGGACCCATGCCGCGGTCCGCGGCGGAAGACCCTCCAGGAACTGCTGCGTCACCACCTTTTCCACCACCGCGGGCGCCCCTCCCGAGCCCTCCGGCTGCAGCCACCTGTTGGCCGCGTCTCTGAGTCCCTGGGCAAATGCGAAAGGGCGGTCCCCCGGCCCCAGCCTCGCCTCCCAAAACCGCCTCCTATGGTCCTCGGGGGAGAAAGCCGGTCCATGATGGCCTTCTTCACGTTGGCGTAGACGTGCCTAGGCCCGGGTGGCAGGCCCAGGGCTGCTTTCTGCGCCCCCCCGGTTAGGAGCGGCAGCAGGCGCCCACTCGTCTGCCGGCCACCCACACGCCCCGCCATAGCCTCAAACATCTCCAGGTAAGACTACACCTCGTCCCCGGTGTCATCTTGTGCACCACCACGCCCGCATACGCCGAGGGAAAGTTCCACCAGGCTTTCTGGGACATCTTCGAGGACGACATTTTGGATGTCTTAAATGAAAGTCTGGCCTGTAGTTTCATGCCAAGGGGGGACATGGTTTTATCAGCCCATGCAGATTACATTGTTATTTTTATTAAGGGACAGAGGAGTGCAGACCTTTCAACCAAGATTGTTATTTAGTTTGATTGAGTTTAGTAGGGCATTGGCAGCGAGGGAGAACTGGAGGAAGAGTGAAGACCTCGCTGTCGTCGAATGGCGTGACAGCCTCCCAGTCCTACCCCAGAGCCTGGCAGATGGTTTTAAATACCTGAGAATACATCTTGGACAAGAGGCCGTAGTTCAGAAGAACTGTGAGGGCGTCAAAGAAAGAATTGAGGGGAAACGGCTGCTTCCTCAAATATTATCAGAAATCAATAAAAGCTTGTTGATATCTCATTGTTTGTATAAGGTATGGGCCAACGAACCTCTAAGGGCTGTGGCTTAATATGTCAAGACACAGCCATCATTGGTATGATGTCCAAGGGCACAATTATCTTCCATGAAGGTTATTCCATTTTGGCCTCACAAGTATACAAATATTCGCTGTGTGGTGCGATTGGTCTGGTGTTTGTAACACTTTAATAACAAAACATAACCCTCTTCTTGTGACGCAGGTGCTGAAGGGATGCAATAAGCTGACCATTTCACTGTGTTCCATGGGTCGGATCCCTGGAGGCTACATCACCAATCACTTGTACAGTTGGGTGGATCCTGTGGGTCGGAGAGTCTCACCGCCACCTGACAGCCAGGAGGCCAACCAGAGGCAAGGGCATAGCATGTTGGAGAGGACGGTAAGAACAATGCGTTAATCTCAGGTTGGCCACGGGTGGCAGTGTGACACAGTCTACATATGGGGGCGAAGGTGTAATTAGTGGGGGTAATGATGCATGAGCCACGCTACCAGGATGCACAGCGAGAGCAAGAACGGAATATAGATGGAGTTGTGTTTTATAAAATATATAATTAATAAACTGGAACTTCACCCAAAGAAAACAAAAAGACTTGTAATCTTTGTGTGAGCGAGTGAGGAACAGGATCTTCTCCCGCACCCTGCAGAGTGGCCAAGAAAATCTGTCACTACAATTAGTTTGTGTTTTTAGTCAAGGTATAGTCTGAAGAGGTAAGTCTTTAGTTTGCGGCAGAAAATGTAAAGGCTCTCTGTGGTCATGATGTTATCAGAGAGCTTAATCAAGGTAGGAAATTTACATATTATTTCAGGGTCAATGTTGGCCCCTACTGAATGAAAACCAGGGACGTGTTAAAAATAATAAATATACTTAATTGGGCTTAGTGTATATGCATTTATCATCAAATCTTTTACTGCACGTCCTCTGTCTTCATGTCTCGGCTGGGCCGGGGCCAGGCCCAAAAGAGATTGCAGTTAAACCAGCCTCCGCACGTTATTTCGCGACTTCGGACAGGAACTCGTAATCCACACACAGCAGAGACACAGGGTGCCAGTTTCCGAGTCTCCATCTCCGAATAGGGACCTGACCAGTGCACCCTGGACTTTCAAACAGGTCGGCGTCCTGTGGACTTGCTTAAACCCTCTGAGTCCACTATATCCGTTTCTAGGTCATACATCTAACGATGTCCTGGGTAACGTTGAAGGTGTGCTGTTTACAGAGGAGCCTAATCTCAATCTTACCATTCCACCACTGCCGTCCAAACCAAACGCTATGCAAGCATTTCGCGCAACAGGATCACATGCAAAGTCACAGACGCAATGTGACTGGAGCGACGCAAATCTGTGATTGAGCAGTGCTTTCCACTGCATGAAAAGTGAGATTTTCGTCCCCGTAACGCCCGGAAATGTCCCTAATTTCTGACAGTTTCCGACAATTCGCAACCCGCGCACGTCGCGTTTGTCTGTGCCACAAATTGTCGGAAACGAACCATGACGTATGTGGAGAGCTGGCGGAGGTGCGAATGGCCCTAATTAGCATATGAATGCAGCGAAACCGCGGGTGGCCGAGCCGAGTGGGCTTGAATATCCTTACTCCTTATTGGATGAAACCACAACTTTCTAACAAAATCACTCGTGCTTGGCAGCAAAACCACACCTGGGCAGACCAGGCTTGAGTTTCCTTGCTCATGATTGGATGAAACCACAACTTTCAATCACTCGTGATTGGTTGGCAGATCTGTCGCTATTGGTCACCCGCCTCATTTTATTTATATATATTTATATATTCATATTATGTCGTATATTAATTTCATTGTTATCCTATGTAGGCTACTACACTATTATTAGGATACCATTCAGGACATCAATGAATTCATAGAGAAAATGGAAAAGTTCCGGCCCGGCCCACCACCCTCGCTTGGGCAGTTTGCTTGAATAATAATAGCAGTAGCGGTAACCAAACATAACAACAACACTGCATACTGTGTGCGCAAAACAAATTAAAAACACAACGAGACGCCCGTCTGTCAGGAGGGAGGGAACCGTCACAACTAAGTTATCACATATATTCTTGGTCATTACCTTACACTTGAATGAAGCTAAATTCATCCTGTAGTAAGCAAGATTTGGTTTGCTCACGCAGTTGACCTCACATGCGTTGTGACCTGACGTGATTTTCTTTCCATTGTCAAGTGATTTACCAGCACTGCCTTGGTGAACGACTTGATCCCCCTGATCGAATGCATGTGCTCAGGGTGTGGCATCAGTGGACTGATTAGGAATAGCAGCTACTTTTATAGAAATGCAGTTTGCTATTGTTAGAATTACCGAAAGACACAAAGTCATCCTGCGGGCCGCACTCGACTCCCCGGGAGTTTGCCTTGTTGCTTATTTCACGTTGGTGCACTATTTCTATAACATACATACATACATTGTGGAGTTTACACTCAACACTGAGTGATCTGAATGTCATATCTTCACCTGCAGGCAAGTCTAAATATGGACAGTGGTCGCTCCCTGGGCCTAATGATCAGAGGTGGTGCGGAGTATGGACTGGGGATTTATATCACTGGAGTTGATCCTGGATCTGCTGCAGATGCTGGTGCACTAAAGGTACATTAACCCAAGCTGTTAATAGCATTGAGTACGACTTGCAGCATGTTTTTGTTATATGTATAAAAACTAAATTATTGGCATCAATACAAGTATTATTGTTAATAACATAATTCACAAATAACAATAATAACTGGGCACAACCCTGGGATCCAGGGCAAATTACCAAACCATAAATAGAGGCTGATGTTCATAGCCATTACACTTAAACCCATACTCAAAACCTGTTTGAGTATTTACAGACTACACTATAGGTTTTTTTTTGCAAAATGTTTTATTATATATTTTTTTGTAATTGAATTCCATTTACGGTTTTGCTGTTTAGCAAGAATTACAAAATAATTTCATGCAAAGAACCAAAATGAATGTGCATGAGGCTGCAGCACAGGTGACAAACAAGCCATCAGAGTTATGCCAATCATGTTTTGCCCACCGGGAGGGTTTGCAGCTCTCTCACCTGTTTTGCTGTTGCGATGGAAAGGAGAAAAACTCTTTGCTGACAGCCACTTCAGCCCTGCCTCTGATTGAGGTTCAAAAGGAGGCAGGCATAAGGTGCAATTGCTCCGGGAGTCTGAATCCCTCATAGCTACTGGCTTATGGGGTGTTTCTTCTCACAGGAACAACACATGAGACGTTTCTTGTATGCTTTACTCGCATGACCTTTGACCAAGCAGGCAAAGCAGAGTCCATGTTTCTTTAGCAGCTCAACTTTCTCCTTGTGGGGAATCTTTGTTATTATTTCACATGTCTCCATCACATGATCTCCTTTACAGTAAGCACAAGGCTTGGAGAAAGCATCCATGGCTTTACAGATGCCCTGTGGCCTGTCCGGGTTAATACACATTTTGACCAGTGGATTTCCATGACTTTTCCATGACTTCAAACACAATTTCCATGGCCAAATAAGTGTGAAATCTCAGTGTATACATGAAAAAGTGAGAAAATGTAGTATTTAAACTAACAATGAGAATACCAAAGCATACAGTGTTTCCCCCACCATTCAATTCAGTCACAAGATGTTATAATTATACAATTATCCACTATGGATGAGTATCGTTTGGGGTTTTCCTGATACCAGTGCTAAAACGATACTTATAAACAGTGCTGTAGTGGTAAAATTAGAGGTGGGTAAACTCTGAATTTTGTGATCATACAGACCTCGACGCGATGCGAAGCAACGCGATGCGAAGCGTCGCGACTCTGTAAGGCTGTCCTGGCTATATTGCATTATGTTAAATGTTAAATTTAAGAAAACAGTAAAGAAAAGTATGTCAACACAACACAACAACACAATTGCAGATTAAGAACTATCTACATACGGAGTGTCCTTTTTACAGTAGTGCCCAGAGGGCCTCCTTGTCCTCCACGTCAGGTCCTGCCTTGCACAGAGGAGCCATGAACCCCAGAACGCGTGTTCTGGGGTTCATGGCTCCTCTGTGCTTCTCCTCTCTCTATTGGACCTGGTGTTTCTCCTCTCCCTGTGCTCTCGGCATCATTGCCTGTCCTCTCACTGCCTGAAAAAATATGTTGAATTTAAGAGTTAACCAGTTAAGCAGCCTGTCAATTACACTGACAACATAAGTTAAAGGAACACTCATGTACTACCTATGTCATCATAAATAGCCTATACAGCAGGGTTTTTTTCACATTGAGAACTGACTTGTTTTCTAATCTACGCGTCATCAGGCGTTTTTCTTGACATTTTTGCGAACACAGAGCGCGCGACTACTACCCCCCGACCTTCTCGACTGGTTCGCGAAATATTGTCTGACATGAAACCGGTCCGTGAGGTAAGAAAGGTTGGGGACCACTGGGCTGATCCACAACGTGTATGTGTTTACACACCTCCTGGATCCTGATTGGTGTCGCTGCTGCAGCCGCAAGGAACTGATTGGATGGTCACAGACCGTAATACAGCGCAGATGAAAATGATTCAGACTACGGCGTTTATATGTTCAACAATAGGAAACGTAGTCTTAGCTGTTTTAAAATTATACCGAGTTTATTTCGGATTATTCCAACGGAAGAATACAAGGCGCAGGGAACTTTGAGGTGCGTTAACGCTATCTATAGGTGCGTAAACGCTTTTCCAAAATTCTAGAGGTGCGTAAACTGCGTTTACGTGCATTTACCCTCCACTACAGCCCTGATTTTCACGTTGAAAAACATTCAGATACATGATTTCAATGCATAAATATTCAGTGCTAGAAATTCAATCACCTTTTTCTTTCAAAATCCGATGACACAGATTTACTTCCATATTATCGCCCTGACCTCTGTAGTCTTTTGAACGGCTAGTCCTGTAACACCTGAAGACCCTCATTGACCCCCTCCTGGACCCCCTGCAGTTCGCTTACAGAGCCAACAGGTCTGTGGACGATGCTGTCAACATGGCCCTCCACTACATCCTCCAGCATCTGGACTCCCCAGGAACCTACGCCAGGATCCTGTTTGTGGACTTCAGCTCTGCCTTCAACACCATCATCCTGTCTCTGCTGCAGGACAAACTCCATCCGTTTCCTGGGCTCCATCATCATCACCCAGGACCTCAAGTGGGAGCTGAACATCAGCTCTATCACGAAGAGAACTCGGCAGAGGTTGTTCTTCCTGAGGCAGCTGAAGAAATTCAACCTGCCAAAGACTATGATGGTGCACTTCATCGAGTCATCCTCTGCTCCTCCATCACCGTCTGGTACGCTGCAGCCACAGCCAAGCCCAAGGGCAGGCTGCAGCGTAGCTGCACCGCTCTGCAGAGAGGGTGATCGGCTGCAATCTGCCGTCCGAGCTAAAAAGATCGTAGCCGACCCCTTTGACCCCGGACAAAACCGGTTTGTGCCCCTTCCATCAGGAGTAAGACCACCCGCCACACAAACAGTTTCTTCCCATCTGCAGTCGGGCTCATCAAATCATCATCATCATCATCAGAGCCCGGTCCCCCACTGACTGACTCTGACATTATACCAGTCACTTTCTTTCATTCTACACACGTCACTTTGTCATTTTTCACTTGTCACTTTTGTCACTTGTTTGCTAGTGCACTTTATTTTTGAATTTCTTTAAATATTTTTAACTTTTAACTTTAATTTTTAACTTAAATTCTCTTATTTTAAACTAACCCATAGCCTCATTCTACTAACACATAGCATTAGCATTTCATTTTATTAGGGCCTGAACTGACTGCAAGTCGGGCGAAAGCCCTATTGTGTTTCATTACATTACATTACATTACAGGTCATTTAGCTGACGCTTTTATCCAAAGCCACTTTAAACCCATGGCTTTTTTACATTTTGCCCAGGGAGCAATTAGGGGTTAGGCAAGGCAAGGCAAGTTTATTTGTATAGCGCTTTTCATACACAAGGCAGACTCAAAGTGCTTCACGTCATAACATTTCATACAATAAAGTGAAATAAAATGCAGGAATTAAAAGACAATTAAAAACAGCAAATAAAATTATAAATTAAAATCTTATTTAAATTGTTTAATTAAAGGCAGAGGTTAAAAGTGCAAAGTAGGTAAAATTTAGCAGAAGGCGAAGCTGAACATAAAAGTTTTCAGTCTTGTTTTAAACGTGGTCAGAGTTGGGGCAAGTCTTAAATCTTCAGGAAGTTTATTCCAGCTGTTTGTTGCGTAGTAACTAAATGACGCTTTCCCATGATTTGTATTTACTCTGGGAATCACTAACAGATTGGTGTCAGAAGATCTTAGTGATATTGAAGGCTTATGTAGTGGAAGCATATCAGTGATATACTTTGGCCCTAAACCATGTAGTGATTTATATGTGAGCAGTAGGATTTTGAAATTAATTCTCTGACATACTGGGAGCCAATGTAAGGATTTAAGAATTGGTGTAATGTGCTCACATTTTTTGGTCTTTGTTAGAACTCTAGCAGCAGCGTTCTGAACAAGCTGGACCTGCCTGACATTTTTTTTTGGAAGACCTGCAAGGAGACCATTACAATAGTCTAGCCTACTAGTTATAAAGGCATGTACAAGTGTTTCTAAGTCTTGAGCTGACATGAGCCCTCTAAGTCGTGCTACATTTTTGAGGTGGTAGTAGGCCGATTTTGTTACTGATTTGATGTGAGTCTTCAAGTGTAAATCTGAATCCATAATAACCCCCAGGTTTCTGGCTTTATTTGATGTTTTCAGGGACAGAGAGTGAAGGTGTTGGGTTACTTTAAACCTTTCTTTTTTAGCACCAAATACAATGATCTCAGTTTTGTCTTCATTTAGTTGTAGGAAATTTTGACACATCCAGTCTTTGATTTGCTCAATGCACTGGCACAGAAGATCTATGGGGCGATAGTCGTTTGGTGATAGCGCTACATAGATTTGGGTGTCATTAGCGTAGCAATAGTGGGCAATTTTATTTTTTTGCATGATTTGTCCTAGTGGGAGTATGTAGATGTTGAATAAAGTCGGCCCTAAGATCGAACCTTGGGGGACTCCACACGTTACGTCGGTTGTTTCTGATACCAAGTCACCAATTAGGTGTCTTGCTCAGGGACACTTCAACATGGGACATGGAGCAGCCGGGGCTCGAACCACCAACGTTGCGGTTCCCAGTGCATCCGCTCTACCCCCTGCGCCACGACGATTTCGAAGAATTCTTTTTCTTATTATTTCTCCACTTTAATCGCACTTTTTAGGCCTTCATCATATTCAAAACATTTCGATATTCTTTGGGTTGCGCATTTGGGGATACAAAAATTGCTCTCTAGCACCCTCTGGGGAAATTTTTGCCCACTTTCACCGATTGACTTGCAATTTTGCACACAGGTGCTCTTGGATATGCTCTACAAAAAAGTCAATTATGGTATGTAAATGCGCCTAGCACAATTTTCCGTTTCGTTTTTGCGAACTCCTCCTAGACGCTGGCTCCGATTTTCACGAAAATTTCAGGGAATCATTGGCTCCCTGTCACCAGAAGTTATTAAAAGCTTTTTGATATCTCATTGGGTTTCGAAGTTATGGACCAATAAAGGTTGTAGGGGGTGTG